GCGGTTTCAAAACTGATATTAACTTTGGTTTAAAACTTAAGTTTTTCGTGATAGGAGGCTATTTTCTGGGAAAGAGCATAGGGCCTTTTTTTGGTTTTTCATTTTTTCAGTACTGATAAGCACTGCTCATTTAGCATCTAAAGAAACTAGCAATTTCAGAATCGTCATGAAGTGCTGAATAATGAGGAGGACTCGTTTGAGGGTTTACTGTGCCCTCTATGTATGCGAGCTTTCTTGACTCCGAAGGAGCTGCAAGAACATTTCGACACTCATGATTCTCAGCGCGAGGTCTTTAATGCTCCTCAAGTAATGCAATTTTTTCTTTAATTCTTTTGAATATTCACTTATTTTAGGTACCAGTCGATGAAGCTTCCTCGTCGCCTTCATTCTCTTCTTGTAATGGTCAGTAGTAAACCATCTTTTAAATTCAAAATTTAATTTCATTGAGTTACACGGTTTTTTATGATTTAGCAGGGTATCCTACTGATGCAGAAAGTTATTATAATTTGGAATCAGAGGTTAATGAGCTAAAGCATCTGCTTGATGATGAGAAGCGTTATTCGTGCGAGTTGAAAAAAGAGCTGGATAGACTTCACGAAGTTACTGCTAACCAGACAAACTTGCCAAAGGTTGATAAGTGGAGCTGTTTGAGTTCATGAGTGGTTTTAAATTATTGCACATTATTTAGCATTGAGATATTTAGGAGGAAGTTCCCTACCTTGTGCAACAGATTCAGGTGCTGGAAGCGGGGAAGTCTATGGGTATGCAATTTAATAATTGAAAATAATGTTTATAACGGTATTCATCTTTGTCAGGAAAAAATTGTTTTGAATTTTTATTTGTGGCCTTGATTTCTAGCATACCCACCATTAATTATAGTTTTGTGTTCCATTATCGCAGTTTTCGGTGGTGAAATGATTATGTTGGATAAAAGCCACTGAAGTATTGAAGTTATTGTTGTAAAAGCGTTCGGGGTATTTTTCTTCCATAACTATTTTTAAGGAGCTTCACACTGATTTTTGGTTTAAATAGTATGGTTTGTAATACGTAACCTAGTGACTTCTAGGCTTTGTCATTTACATAGCATTTAAAGCACAGATGGATTCGTAAAATGATTTATTTTAGAGAGAAGTACATTGCTATATATATTTTGCTTGTGATTACTGACATACATTTTTGGTTTATTGTTCAATGCGTCTTGATCTTTACTTAATAGTTTCACCTGACAGAAGATGAAGTGTATTGCAGTTACACAACGTTTACTTGATGTGGAGAAAGCACTGAGCACAACGAATAGGGCATGTGAAACTTTGAAGTATCAGAAGGAGGAGTTAAGGATGAAAGTTGCTGATCTAAATAGTAAGGTTTGTTTGATTTGTTACTATACTAGAACTGTTTTCTTTAAATTTTTTGGTCTACAGGAGTACTAAAAATTTGTTACTGAACCAGTCGATAATTTGGGTCTTTGAAATTCGAATTTTTTGCGGAACTAAATTTCAAAAGTGTCTGAAAAGAAAATTATTTTTTTTAACCTTTCGAAATATAACCTTTTAGTAATGAGTTGTCTTTTACCTTTACTTACTTTACGTGCACTCACCTCAAGGGTTGAACGTGATTTAATTTCTGCTTTTAGTCGTTCACACATTTCAACAGATTTTCAGGTTTCTAGCATGATGGCAGAACTTGAGGACCATAAAACTGAGGAAGGTGTGTTACGTGAAGAATTGTTACGTCTTAAAAATGAGAACGAAAACAATATTCAGGAAATTGAACAGCTGACAAGACAGCTTGATCAAAGGTGCTTATAGTCTGTTTCATTTTTACTTTTCATACTTAAAAAATTTTCTTTTGCAAGAGTGATTTCCACTTCGTAAGATTAGTTCATTTTTTATACGGCTTTTTTAGGCCTTCAGAAGACGACATAAAAGTTTTAAGGCAGGAGTTGGTTCGTTCGCAACAGTTAATGGACAGCATAACCCAAAAAAGAGAACTTGAAATTTCTGAGCACATTAGTACTATTGAAGAACTGGAACGCCAAAAAAAACAGTATGCTTATGACTCGCTTAGTTTTGCCAGTTAGCTGCGACGTTTGACAGAACCGTCGCTGTGTACCTCAAGACTGGTTTTAATTTCAGTGATGGTGTCTTTTAACTTAATAATATGCTACACTATTTCATTTCAATCACAGGTATTTATTATCTTAGCTCTATCTTTGACTTATAGGTTGGAAAACGATCTTCTTAATAGCAAAAACGAAGTGGATATTGCAGTGTCACGCTTGCAGTCCCAATTATCAGAAAGCAAGGTTTGTTTTCAAAAGCTTTTGGACCTTAACTTTTATTGTATTTACTTCCGATTATCATTTAAAATAAGGAATCTCAATGGTTTTGCTTCTTCTACAGGAAAAAATCGAAGGGCTGATTACTGAGAAGGAAATAGCAGAGGGAAAAATTACAGAATTAGAAAAAGTTTTGAGTGGAAAGGTGAAGAACTTGGAAGATATGAGCGTTTTATACGGGGGTTGTCAGGCCAATTACGAAGATTTGAAAGTAAAATTCTTCAAGGTGTTGTTTCTTGAATGCTTTTTTTTGAACTTTTTCATCGAAATTTCATTTACCGATAATGTTTAATTAAGATGGAGGAAGAAAAGAAAGCGCTTGAAGAACAGGTTGGAGAGGATTCCATAGTTCAGACAAATGCGCTGGAAGACCTAAGTAAAGCGAATGAACGCATTTTCAGCTTTCAAGCTCACGTACTGTTTACAATCGTTTTAAATAGAGGGTGTTAAGATTAAGATCTCAGAAAACTCACCGTACAACGATTATCGATCATCCTCTGTGGAAAATAACTTTAACTGACTGGTTCTAAAATGACAGCAAAAATTTATGATAAAATAAGCATCCCGATGTTATATTCGCGATTATTAGAGCTTACTTGAAAAGTAGATAGTTTTTAAGAACTTTATTGTTGTGCACATTTTTAAAGGGCTCTGCCTCAGAATTTTAGGGAATGATTTCTTATTGTTCGTATCAATCAAGTTACACTAGGCAGATGGAAAGCACGATTTTTCATTAATGCTTCTTTTTTACCATAATTTAGTCTACCAGTTACTTACATTTAATTTCAGAATGAAGAGTTGAAAAAGCATATAGATAAGGTGAAAAACGAGTTGAAAGAAAAAGACGAACTTGTCGACAAACAGGTAATTTTTTGTGTCTTTCGAATTTTGCTGCTGTAAAATAATGAGTGTTTTCTAGGCGGCAATCATTAGTCGGAATGAAGCCATTATCACTAAGCTTGAAGAAGAAGTAAAGGTGAAGGAAAATAGCGGTAAAGAGTTTGATAAGAAGATATGCGAATTGTCTCAGAGACTGTCTGATGCGGAGAAGGAACTTACTGAAAGACAAAACAAGGTGAGCTTGTTCTTAATGAGTACGACGCCTCTATTAGTCGTTTTTCACCAGCATAGCTGTTTCCAGTTTTATTGTGAAAAACCAGGAAGTGTCAGATGCATCTCAGAAGTAATTAAATTGAATTATTCTGCTTTTCATGCTTTTTTTTGCGTTGCTGAGTACTTGATTTACGTAGTTTTGTATATTTGTAGGTAAGCTACTTTTGGTTCTAATTATTATATAATATTTAGTTGGAAGAGCAGCGACAAGAGTTTGAAAAAGAAACACAACGGCTTGCGGAAGTTAATGCAGATAAAATAAGCAACATCGAGCAGCAGGCTTTGCTTTTGAAGGATTCTTCAAAGAAGGTATGACATTTTAAACTTGATTTCAAGTTTTTTTTTAATTTTTAGCTACTCTATATTTTGACACATTAATACATCTGAATATTAATTAAATGTAGGTCGAGGAGAAACGGCAGAAGCTATTAAAAGAGAAGATGCAGTTACAAGAAGCTTTGGATGAATTGAAAAGTCTCAGCAAGGAAAAGGTTAATTTCTTGGAAGTTTTGATCATTGTGACTCTTTTGTCATTTTTATGATGTAAGTTCTTGAAATGATTATAATTTTTAAGCGTTGTAGTTTTTAGCCTAATTTTACCAGTTTGAATGATTTTATGGAAATCTCAGAAGTAATGGATTTTGCTGCTTGAGATAAGTGAAGTCTGATCTTCATTATTACTTTTAAATAGTATTGAAATTGGCTAGATTTTTTAATGGTTGGAAAAATTGTGTATGCTGCCTATTTTCAAATGTCATTCTGGTTGTAGGACGAGAAAATAAGTCAGAGTTTATCAGAAATTAAGCAGGCAAACGAGAAAATTAATAATTTATCTGCTAAACTGGAAGAAAGTATATTGCATTCCGACAAAGTTGCGAAAGAAAATAGTATTCTCAATAAAAAACTTGAAGAGGCAGAACTAAATACGAAAGCTCTAATGAAAAAGGTAAAAAAGTTTTGGATTCTAATCTAATAGAAGTTTACGTTGTTTGTGTAAGATGGAACAGTCATTTTTTAAAAGTATAATTATAATTTTCTTGTTATTTTACATTGGTAATTATTTTATAGTAGAAAGGTTGAATTGGTCATAAAGGGTTTGAATGGGAATGTTTCACTTTTGAACCCGTTTCCAGATAACCGAAGGTAAGGATGGAGCAAAAATTGCAGTTGAACAATTGGAACTTGAGAATCAGAAGTTACTTAACGATTTAAAAAAAACAGAACTTAGCATGAAGGAAGCAGTTTATGAAAAAGAAATGCTTCAAAAGAAAGAAAGAAAAGAATGGGAAACCAGATTACTTGATAGGGACGAATGCATAAAAAAACTGAATGCTTCTGTTGAGAAGCTTAAAGCTGATTACGCAGCATCTGAGGAGGAGTGCAAAGGAAAAGTAACTATCAATTTTCAGTGCCTTTATCTTTCTATTTCATTTACCCACACAACTTTATTTACCGTTTATTTTGACAGCTTTTCAAATATGAAAGGAATTTTTAAATACGTGAATTCCATGTTTGTTTTTTTTTCTTTGTGATAAAATTAGAATTAAGTCTAATCAGCTGCTGACGTTGGAGAAGGAACATTTTGATGAAATGGAGCAAATGCGTTGTGACCAAGAGAAGAGTAGTACCGTGGTTAACAGCATGAAAGCAGAAATTGAGGAAGTTAGTCTTTATTTGTTTAGGAGAAGTTAGGTAGATCAGTGTTTATGTAAAACAGTGAGGAATTTTTAATATTTGCTTAGCATATATGCTGTTGTTATAGCTGCAGAAAATTATTGCTCGGAATGAGGCTGACCTGGTGGAGAAACAGAAGCTAATTGAAAGGGATTATGAAAGAATACAAGTGGCAGTTGAAAAACTTTCCGCAGCGGAAGATAAAGCACGTGCTTTGGTAAAGCAGTGTCATTTACTACATCTGTATTTAACTGAATTCATTTTTTTGTTGGGATGTGTTTCACTTCAAATTATTTTTCTTGGCACTAATTCAGGAACAAGAGCTTTGCAACACTGCAGTTTCTTGCGAGAATGCCGTTAACGAGAAAAATCGTTTGGAAACTGAAATGGAAGCTATGTGCAGAAAGAATGACGAGGAATGCGCTATGGCAGCAGAAACTCAAAGCAAGCTTGAAGCATCTTTGAGGGATGTTACTAAGGAGAGAGATAGTTATATGGATGGAATCAAAAGTATGGAAGATTTATTGAAACTGAAACAGCGTAAATTCAGAGAGGGGTTTGTAGCGATAAGTCACTATTTTGGGAAGCAAAAGAAAGATCTATCTTCACAGCTGGAGTTGTTGAAGCAAGGGGTTGAAGACGTAAGGAAGACTTTTGTTGGTGATAAAAGGGCTCTCGAAAGTGCTGTTATTGCGCTTGCAGAGGATTATGAAAGAGTCCAGGAAGAAAACGCGAAGGTCGGTTTTTCATTCATTAAATTTATTTGCTTGTTAATGTTTGTAGGAATTTTTACCCTTTCGGGGTTGATGGGGACCTTTCTAATTTAGTCCGGAATCTGTTGACTTTGTAGATATAGTTACTGCTGTTTGATGATTGAATTATTCTCATGGGTCTTTTTAAGTAGTTTGTTGAGGACTTATCCTCAGGTATTTTGTCATAAGTTTTCGGCGTTCTACTTTCCTTGCACTTTTTCTGGTTCTGATTTCAGCTTTTTTTGTTTTTTTTTTTTTT